TAGGTGACCAAGCAGTGTCTTAAATAATGCATTATGCAAATCTGTATTCACGGTTATTTTTTGGTACGTACCATTAAATCTAGGTGATATACATTGCATAAATTAGTAATAAATGAATACTATTTTGTACGTAATCACAACAATTTTGTTTTACCATGAATTGACAAAACAGAATTCAATATAAATACCAGTATTTCCTGGAATACATTGAATTTCACTTAAGCATGAATGTTTTTTTACAAAACATGTATAAACCTTTTATAAATTTGAAATGATAGTTGAAAATATCTTAACCAATCGCAATGCCTACTGCATAAATCATTCATGATTGAGGCTGGGAATTATGGGTAATGGACTTTACTCAAGTTTAGCAAAGATGACTGTCGATTTGAATTAACGCAAGTCTTCTTTTTTCATAATTTTTGACAAAGTCATTTCATGCTTAAAATACTACAGTCTTTGCACCATGTCATGTTTGATGTGAATTGTTAGTTGACATAAATACAAAGAAGTGGTGCATGACGAGTGTAGCGCTTGACGTGTAATACAGCGTAATGTATCTCAGATTATTAATATTCAATAATGTATGTGTTATTGTTTTGAGAATGTCATGGTGTTTACATCGATAATTTTACATATGACACGCCAAGAATGGATTCATCCCCTGAAATCATACATATGCACATCAACTTGTCTCTCGGCTCATTGTCCCAAAATCAACATTTCAGCGTGTTCTTAACCATTTTATTCAAATTTAAAATTTACAGGTATCGCATACAATGGGTCATTGATACACAGCTTGCTTTGAAATGACCAAATTGGGGGGGGGGGGTATTTTTATTTTCATGTATTTTTGAGTTCCAATTATATTCACAAGTAACCAACCATTACCGTTTTATGAAAAAATAAAATCACATAATTTAAATATGTTATATCATCCGATTCCCTGGGTCAAATTTAAAATTGATGTACACAAGTTTGCTTTGAAATTTGATTCACAATGACCAACCTGGGAGGGGGGGGGGGGGCATGTTGTTTTTATTTCCACGTGTCTCTTATCCATTTTTGGATGTACAAAACTGATTTTGTTCAAAGTTAGTACAAAAACAAGACATATGTACAAAATTCACTTCATTTTTTTTTTTTTTAACAATGACCTTTGACCGACTAGTGGCCATTTATATCCCAAAGGAAAAAATTCTAACGGTAACATGTCATCAACTGTTTCTCCAGCATAGTGAAGATTTTATTGATTGTATTGATATGAACATCACACATGATGGTTACTAACACATCTGTTTTGTCATTTGATTGAAAATAACAGACTGACAGCCATATTGGTTTTATTTTTTTATGAACCATTTATCAATTATGCAGAGAGGGCTTTGGTTAAAGTTGTCATTTCTTTATGTGATTACATAATTTGATTCACAATTGTGAAATTTTGTGTTTTTCATGTAATTTATTGATTCTCAAATACACTTTTTGTCAAAATAATTTTATCATTTTGAAGCACTTTTAAATATAACTTTTGGATATTTAACTGTAAAATGTTTACATGTAGATTTGAATTATAAGATGTGATTTGGTAATGTGAAACTCTATTGTAACATTCTCTCTGTGCTAATAATTATTGGTTAAGGGCTTTTCAACTGTCATTTCGGGTTTATAAAATTATTTAAATACATAAATCATAAACCACATTCATGGGCATTCCGAAATAGATAACGAACCACGAAAATAGCTGTTATATGAACAAGATCAATATTTTATCTTTATAAAATTTGGGTTTTCTTGGTGTATGTAGCCAACAATTTTACTGATATATGGTGCAAAGCATTTTCACCAGCCTTCGCTTCACAATTTTACCTTGTAAGATTTCCCCCTATGAACCTGGATTCATTGTGAACGTAATCAAACACAATGTTTGTGGCTCTGGTGCGTTTCCATGGTAAATGGGACAGAATGAGAAATAGAACACCAAATCACATTCATGTCAGTTAAGCGATAACTAAATAAAAGGCAGAAAAATCTTAAATTTGAAATAGATTTGAACCATTATAGAAACACCGATTTATGGTTCAGCTCAGCACCCAACCAAGTCATTCAATTTAACTTGCGTGCATTCGTATGAAATGCAATGTCTCAAATAAGCATTACTTATTCCTCTGAAGTTCATTATTGAATTCACATGAGAACTGTACAATGAACCCACCACTCACTGCATTACACTATTCATTTGACGAATGAATTTGTTTGTCAAATCATTATTAGGATTGTAGCTACACGACTTGCACACTGTTTAATGTTATCTAAATCACTGAATTTAGGCCATTATGACAACACAAGGTGATTGGTGTGTCATACAAAGTTATAAATTGAGTTGCTGTCAATAAGATGCCACTTGATTGAAATATTGATAAGCTTATATTCCTTGCAACATAATACAGGTTGTTAACAGTTCGTCAACTTGCAACATTGAATATTTGTCAACAAAAGTTGCAGTTGTTGATCATGGTCTGTATGTTGTATTCCCTATTACAAATGATAATGATCTTTAGGTACCATTCATGGCAGCATGATTACAATCAGATTACTCATGCATGTAGATAGACTGGCATAGTCGGTTTACAAAAAAAAATATAATTGTCAATTTAGCCTTTTTACTGTAATCGCGAAAACTAGCGCGACTGCAAAGGAAATCCCGACTGGACGTATCTGCAGGCAGCCCCCTGCTTAGAGTGAAGACCGGAGCGATTTTGTGCGATTATTTATATACATTAGACATTTAAAGAGACTTGTTTTCAGTAAACATGGATGAAAATATCAGTTGCACTTAAAAAGGTTGAAGTATTCATCTCTGCGATCAAATCGAATCAACCTTTAAAAGGTCACACATCCACTCATGAATAATCAATGACATCTAAATAATTAATATCAGTCAAATGCCCGCAGATGCGTCCAGTCGGGATTAGTTTTCGCGATCACGCTAAAAGGACTAACAAGCAGCCAGTTGGCTGAGATAGCTCCGCTGTTAGCAATGCACATTTCAATTAAAGAACAGAAGATATCATTAGAAAATGAACAATATGTATGGTATCAAAGCAATGGGACTTGCCGTTTTTAATGAGTCGAAAATATCACTTTACTAAAAAATTCTCCAAAATTAGAGAATTAAAGATATCATCATGAAATGAACAAATCTGAAAGAGGTCCACATGTAGTACCTATATATGTAATATCAAAGCAATCAGACTTGAAAATATCGAAATAACGAAAATATTCATCAAAATTAGAGAATTTGGGAATTTTGACATGAAATGAACAAATCTGAGAAAGAACCATGCATATCATATCATTTGCATATAGTTTCGAAGAAGTTGAAATTGTAAAGTTGACGATGATGGACGAACAATCCGCAATATGAACAGCTCCGCTGCGTCGACAGCGGAGCTAATAACAATTATTTTTTTTCGTAAAACAAAAAAGAAGTCCAGACTTTGCCAGTCTAGCATGTAGTGTATATTGAGCCAGTATGGCAGAAATTAAATCAATGTTACAATACATCACTCACTCACATACAACACCACAAGACAACACTAAATCATTTTTTTACTTTTATTTTTCAAAAGCATCAAAATAAGTATTTTAACAGTATAAATGTTTTAAAGTCACTATACACCTGGACACTGGGTCAGAAAGTAAGATTGAAACCAAAAATACTAAATTAGAAAAGTTGGTTATATTAAAATAACCACAAAACAAGTAGAGGTTTTAACAAAACAAGAGTAGAGTATTTACAAACAGCTATGTAGATAAATATTACTTACTGGAGGTAGGATACACAAAGCGAGTAAAATTGACTTATCTCATTTGACGTAGCTGAGAAAAATGGAATCTCCACAGCCAGATTTGTTGATCACTTGAAAATCTATCAATGTTACATAAAGTGAAGGCATAACCAAGTCTTCTAAATCAAAATACAGTTTGTATCTTTTCAATGATATTAACATGTCTGAACCCTTGTATCTACAATCCAAACATTGGTGACATTCTTACTTCCGTTCTACTCGTTTGGGTTTTCACCGCTGCCACACCGTATTTGCATATAAAGAATAGAACGTAATCAAAGGCGTTTAAATTCTTGTACACTAATTTGAAATCATTTAAATATTCACTATTATAAACAGTTTCCCCTTCATCTGAATCTTGCAATTTGGAGAGATTACGGTAGTGTTGAAACATCCCATATGTAAACTTTGGGAAAAAAACAGGTCTTGTACAAAAGTGACATGTCTACACCTAAAGACACTTTCTGGTGTATGATTTCATATTTATGAACATCGCCATATTTATTTCATGAAAAGTCATAAAAGTTGTACGCATATATCACCACATTTTTTATGCAAATTACAGAACATATGCAAGTCTGGTGTGGCAGTGGTGAAAGCCAGAATGAGTAGAACGGAAATGAGGGCGCCGCCAGAGTTAGGAGTTCGCCACGTACCAATAAATTAGCGTCATTATGTACATCAACTAGGCTTCCACCAGATAATAAAATAGTTTTCAGTCATGGTGGCAAACACTAGACTGTTGTTTTGGCCAATTACCATAGCAACATTGCAAATAGGAAGAATTACAGATTCACATAGCATGATTGAAATATGACTTGTATAATCTAGATATTAAAGTTGCATTCACACATATGCAGAACACCTAACAGATTATTGTGATCACTACAATAGATGATAAAACTAGTATGTCTGACAACAAATTTTAAAGTAGCTTAGTATTTGACAGAAATAAGGTCATGGTGTCTAACATCAAATCAAACATTTGCAATTTTGCATACATCTTGGGAGACGCTTCTAAATTTAATTTCAGTTCAATAAGGTTTCTCATGCTGAACCAAATGCTCTGGTGCTTATAGGGGTCAGTAATGTTTTCTACACGTCATACATACAAAGTTAGAATGCAACTTTAGGCAATGTTTTTCTGATGGTTTTTAGCGAGCAATGACATGTTTTGAATGGCTGACCATTTCAGTATGTGAAATGTCTTAGTCATTGGTGACTGAAGTGACAATTACAACTAAATATCATTGCAGGTTGCTATTAGCAACTGAGGGAAGTGGTCAGTGCCTAACATTGTTATTATTGCCAAAATGCAGTTAAAAAGATTTAGCAGGTTTCCCCCTTTTTCCCCCAGACAAGTTCAAACTAAAGTGGATTTATTAAATACATTTAAAGCTAACTAGTTCGGAAGTGTAAATAATAACAGGTAAACTCAAAATCTAAATGGGTTAAATATAAATTGTCTTTCAGTAGGATTCTGAATGCAAAAGATCACTTGTAAATACTGGTATTGTTAGGTAGTAGCTGCTTACCACATAAAAATAAGAAGCTTCAACACATCCCAGGTCCAAGATTTTGAGAAAGCATAGATATGGGACACAAAACTTAGTGCAAAACAAGTACATCAATGACAAAATTGAAATCTACAAACATATATATTTACATTGGTTTCAATTTTATCCCATCGATTTGTTCAAATTTTGAAAATATTCAGCATTCGAAAGGCTTGTAATATTTTAGCATTGTGATACATCATGCTTTCCTGAAACAAACAGGATATTTTTGTGCCTATTCTGATGTGGTTTGGTCAGTGTTTTTGAAACCTAGAAATATACATATTACAACATACTTGCTTGTAAAGAAAATTCAAAAAATAATGCCCCCTGCCCAACATTTACAAAGCGTTACCTCCGATGTCTATCTCTTGATTTATGACCATCTTCTCGTACACGTTCTCTTTTCGATGATTTATGCGACCGTTCTTTCGACCGTGATCTAGAATACCCACGTCTGGTTCTCCTCTCTCGGTGTGGGGAACGTCTATGTTTATAGGCACGAGGTGTTCGACTTTTTGAGCGACTGCGACTACGACTGTGAGATCTGCTCCTTTTCCTTTTTCGTGAATGAGAACTGGAATGTTTGCTCCTGTTATTATGGTCTCTATCTCGTGATCTGTGATCATGTCTTCTATGTTTATGTGGTGAATCATACCTACTTCTGTGTTCATGTGGGCTATGACTATGGGTCGGACTACGACTATAATTACTATGACTAGAGCTATGATGTGAAGGTGATCTACTATGAATGTGTGAATTTCTTAGCGGTGTATGTGATCTACTACGGGGACTTCGTGAACGACTTCTATCATTACGGTGATGACCATTTCTCTCTCTGAAACAAAGAAAATCCAATATTTGTTACTACGAGTTTGCACACACAACCCTCTAATCAAAACTGTTGCATAAATTAAATAATTCCACTACAAAAAATATATGTGAAAAGTTTGCATATGCCACAATACTTCACATACCTACTGCCGATACTTCCAGCAGAACTTCCCGCACCATCTTCTTTCAATTTTTTCTTTAACCTACTATGAGGGGAAACAGCACCAGATCTTGGAGAGCCTGGAATCAAAGAACACAGTGTTAAAGAACCTTGACTGACAAAGAATTATTAATGGAAAGACAAAATCAGACATTTCTAATAAACACATTTTAAGACAGTTATTAGCAATAATTTTAAACTTTTTAAACTTAATTAGGGTAAAGTGACTATTATGAAAAATATTTTAAACATTTTGAAAATAAGAAGTAATCGTTTTAATAATTTTAATTATATCTCAATGTTGGAGATCGTTTTGAATTCCTCGGTAGTGTGAAAACTTGTGAATAGTTGGTTTAAACTTACTTTGCCTGGAAGAAGGAGAGAAGCCTGCATTGGGAGTTACAACTGTTGATCTCCCACCTGCTGCTTGTTCTTTTGCTCTCATTTTAGCTTCCTGGATGGTAACTCTACACTTTTCAACATGCTTATCTAGGTCCTCATAGGCTTTCTGTAAGGAAACAACAGACATTTATTTAGGAATATCTGAATTCAACTAATCAATGCTTAATGGAAGACTGTTTATAAGGCAAAATCAGACATTATTATTACATAACATTTAAACAACAATAATTAAGCAAGACTTACTCTGGGTCGAGAATAAACTTGTAGTATAATCAAAGATATTTCTTTCAGTTCTTCTTCGCTAGCACCCAGTAAAGAATACCAAGGAGGACGAGTTGGCAGTGAAATCTGCAAGAAAAATAGTGGAGTGTTATACAATCTTGGTCAGAATTATATACATTAATAATAACACTAACTTTGTCTTCTCACTTGTGTCCACGCTACTGTTGTTTGAAATTATTTGGTTTGCAGAATTTGGGGGATTTATTTGCACTTATTTTTACACAGGAAGCACAGGTATATGAAACTTATTTGTATTTTAACTAACTTAGCATAAAAATCCTTTTCATTTTAAATAAATAGTTTATTATGTGACTTATTACGTTCATTGCGTACATTAATACGTCACAAAATGCATTTATTACTTTTATTTACACATGTTCTCCTCCCCCTTGCAGATAATGGAACGGTTCAAAATTACACTCACAATACAACTATTCATTCCAAACTTGTTGCAAATAAGTTAGCTGACAAATCTTTTCCATGTGCATGTGCCCTACCAAACACATGTTCAAATGTATTTTATTCACAATAAACACACTAGACAACAAATGAGCCACTTTAATTTAAACATGCCAATAATTTGCAAAGGTAAAGATAATGAAATATATGCAATATACATGAAATATTTTATATACCAAATAACACAATGCGATTGTTTTTGCTGCAAGTAACACACACCAGACAACACATTTGATTCTTGTAGCAATGGGGTTAATTTAAATATGAATATTTAATACCGTATTTTTTTTCACTTGAGCGCCACCTTCAATTAGCCAGTGCCACGAAAACATCGTATTTTGCACTTTAATTAAGCGCCAGACAAAGTTGAAATTTTGGTGCGTAATGATTGTGGCCCCGGCAGATCGACTACCGGATAGTAGTGATAGACACGATCACGGAAGTCCCCCACTGCTACTGTATGATGGGCTTTTATGCAAAAAAATTGGTTTTGTTTCTAACAAATTTTTAACTTTCCAAAAATAACTAATTTCTTGATTTGAAAAAAACAAAATAAGCAGTTTTCCACCAAAATCAAAGCCAAAAGATGATGATGCGTTCATACATTAACATACATATTTAAATGAGCTATGGTAAATTGATCACATTGGCATCAACCAGCATTTTGATTGGGTAATTAACAACTTGACCTATCAGCTCAAAGAACACGAAGCAGGAAGCATGGCGGATATCGTATCGCATCAATTGAGCGTTTACATGCGACCGGAATCATTCGCTTACGAATTTAAGTTGAATTTTACTTGGATTTTATTTTTTGTGCGTTATTATAATAACTACTGAGTAATAATCATAACAGCATGACCGGATTTCACTACCGTGATAATTTACTATTAAGCGATGCATTTGTGTTTGTTTTATTTTTCTGTTGATCGTAATGCAAACTGTGAATGTTTTTTAAAGGATGTTACTTTTTGTATAACTTTCTAGACTGTCTGAAAACAGGTCATTCACTGAGTATTTAAAATAAAGGCTACAGTGACTAAGCGTCAGACTGTAATGTAAAATATTGCCAATAATGTATCACCAGAATGGAGCAAGAACAATGGCTTGAAACTCAGTTTCCAGTACTAGAACTTGAAGTGATTGAAATAATTGAAGACAAATATGGTACATTGTGTCTTTACCTGCAACTGTCTGGCAGTTAGATATATACAAGCACAAGCAATGGTTTCTGGAGGGTAACGCACAAATACATCAGTCCTCAAGCTATCATTCATGTAATTCCTACAAGAAAACAGAAGAGAACATTCCACATGCAACAAAACTATAAAAAACACTGACCACTTAACAAATCAGGATTGTCTAGGTGGATCTAGTTTCATTTTGTCTAATAGAGCTTTGATTTGTAGCAGAGACATTCTCATAAATCAGAATTACAGATGCCCTTGCACCCAGTAATTGCAATTCAATCAATTCTATATATTTTCAATAATCAATCTGCTGACGTACTATATCTAAATATGGCAGGAATTCTAGATTGAGCTTGGTATCTGGCCGTCAAGCAAACATACACTTCCATACACATCAAGTAAACATACTGAGTTACTATTAATATTTTTTTCAGAGAAAGTCCCTACTACAGTCAAGCACTGTTAAACGTGGTCATATCGTAGTGCAGATCGTCCAGACTTAACACTCAACAGAACTGAAACAAAGTCAGGTAAAATTACAAATGCACCAAGCATTGTTGATTTTTGATGTCCAGTTTCTTCTTTTTTCTTTTACAATGTATATCCTGGAAAGCTTATCACAAAGCCTAATATCCACACGTTTCTTGCAACATGGATCAAGATTATCTTCACTGTTTTATCAGCTATGTAGAAGAGTTATTCCTTCATTATTGACCCAGTCTGCAATAAACTTTGCTAACATGGTTAATAATAAAAGTTCATGCTAGCCAAAATAAATAAATGCACACAAATTGTTCATGGCACAGATCAGTATTCTTCATTGTAAACACAGTAATACAGACTGCTGCATCAACCAATGTTTTGGTCACAATGATGATTATTCACTATACTTCTTAAGCAGGAAATTTTGAGAAAAAAACACTGCCATTTAAAAGCAGTTACGATATCCCTCACAGGCAACCTCCTCTTGATGTGCGAGAAATACTCTGTGCAGATATGCTGTCATCCTTTCCTTGGCAAGTGCAGAGGTGTACAATTCCCAGAATGATACAGTCCAAAGAACGCGATGGTAGATAAAGTTACCCATCCATTGGCAGTTGAGTGGCTAAACTCTCAAGCCGTAGGGATAGACAGGAGTTGTGTTTTGCTTGGTGCAAATGTACTTACCATAACAGTAATCTACATAACTTCTCTATAAAGGGTGAATAAAGATAAAAATAAAATGTTACCATTGGTCCTGGTCATTAAGATCTGTGTACTAAAACCAATGCATCACAAATTCACGTTATTCTTTACTGTGTCAGCAGTGTCAACACATTTACTGAAGACTTTCTTTTTATAAATTTGAATTATAAGTGAACTTCAGACGACACAGTGAAGAAGCAACAGAATGACCACATTACTACCCATTTTTTCTCTCTACCTGCTGACACATAATTCTGCAGGTTTTAGTGTTGTACATAAGTTTTCTCAAATCATAGTTTGACATAATACTTATAAACTTGTACTTTGATGGTATTTTTGGGTGATTATATGACATGCATGTAGTGATTATTTAACAAAGGGTTGTGTTAAAAGTGAAGGTCCACTAACAGGAAACATCAAATTACTCAATGTGACGAAATTTGTCTAATCAGATTACTGTATTGAATTTATGCATACCATTTCATATTTTGTGTTGGTGAATGGTGAAAGTCGTTACCACAGTGAATATATTTTTCAGGTATCAAAATTCTCTACCTTTCGCAAAAATAAATGGTTACAGTAATCTGACCATGTTGAAAACTGTTGAATCAAAATTAATAAATGCAATTTTAACACCTTAGGGAAAAGCATTTTCATGTATACAACTAGTGTAATAAGGCACGCTGAGTTCTTGTTACAACCTAAGCCTAACTGTTCCGAATACAAGATTGGAATTTGTCCTCTAAAACTTGATGCATTGGTTTTAATACAAAACCTGGTATACTAGAACAAAATTACTACTTACCATGCTGTCTGCACTAGTTTTAAATGCTTCTCACATTCTAAAATCTGCAGATATGTAACAATCATCTGCGAAAAAGAGTATCAGAGAATAGTATTCATACAGATTCTTATTAAAGTATGACAATAACAGCTGAATGACAGCATCATCTCCTAGGATAAAACCAGGTAAAATGTCACAAGTGTTGTACAAGTACCACAAGACATAAATCTTCCATATACATCTAGACAAAAATCTAGACCACCAAATAGTGAAGTCAACACAATATGAATAGAGCAAGAAACCTACCTTATGCGGGTGCTTGACATGGACACAGAATCCAAGTTCTTTTAAAACTCTCCTTTCAGCTTTGATTACGTTATTCTTCAGATTAATATAGTTCTGGTCCAGCACCAATGGCACGACAGGCCTGCAGAGAACAAACGTGGTCAGTTCCCTTTCCTACCTACAGCCGAAATTCAATGTCGGTTTTTCTTGTGTCCAATGTTGTGTATGCATGCCAAAGTTATAGCAATGATAGGAATAACTTTATAAATGGTCTTGGAGCAAAGAAACAAAGCTTACAAATGAGAAAATAAATGGAGTTCTACACCCCACCTCACCCTTAACTAGTTTCTTGGCAGCTAGACCTAATTGCAGGAGAAATATTAGTGATTTTGTTAACACTAGTTCATTAATAAAAACTGTATTGTATTGATGCCAGCATTGCCACTGAGTTTTTAGAGTGTGGGAGAGGGGGGGGGGGTCTATACTCTTGCATAGAAAATGAGGGAACACAAAAACAAGCAAGGATAAATTTTGTACTGCAGTTGGTAAATGTACTCTTGATTTTTTAAATTGGGTGTTCCCTGCACTCTCGCATTGATAACAAAGATGCAAAATCAAAAATGAGGGTAAAAAACACTTCTGCAGATGGTACATATAAGACTGAATGCACATCCAGTTGTTAGTAACACAGAATTCTTGTCAAGCTGTGACATTTTCACTACAGTTCTTTAGGTAGGAGACTGGGTTTCAGCTAACTTTACCAATTGTGAATTTCATTTGGCAACAATAAATTATCCAACTTTTTTGCCATCATCGCCCAAGTGTGATTTCAAATCATGAAATATACTGTGAAAACATATGTGCATAGCATACGTGTCAAAATTTAATTTATTATTTCTTAACACGTTACTCAGTATTTTCACATTTGATTTGAAAACTTGCGGATGAACAAGAAACTTGTTTACATATTGTAAACACATGAACATTGTGACAATGAGCACAGCCAAATAACAGTTTCTGTTCGAACAGTGAAAAGTTAATGTAAACTGTAAAATTATCATTGATATGAATTTTCACAATTGGAAGGTTTTTGTTTCGTTGGCTACCATTAAAGAAAGCAGTGTTCTCCCCAGGATGTAATGA